TGTGGGTTAATTTGTTAGTGTACAAAATACAATTTATTTTTGAGGCAATTTGTTTACTCGCCATATGGGGGTTCTGGCCTGTACTTTAACATTTATGCCTGTAAACCCACTTGTTAAATATGAAAATGTGAGACAGGAACAGTACTGGGATATACTAGGACTCTTAGCAAAATCTGATTAGATGCTTAAAACTGAACAGAAGTTCCAAATATGTTGTTGTTGGGAGATGCTGGTTCTGTAGCCATGATGTGAACGTTGAGAGGGTCTGTTAGTTGCACTTTCATAGCACTGAAAGCATTAAAAGTATCAAATTGTGACCATGAAAGCAAAATAATGCCAGCAAAGTTAGCTATTCAAAATAACCATAAGTTTGATTTAATGATGAAATAAACATCAACAAACAGTTTTATAATTAATTCTATAAATTGGCAACAGCACTTTTAGAAATTATGGATCTGAATTGCTTTTTAAATATTCCCTGAAAAAAAATTGTGAGCTATCATAGGCATTACAGTTGTCTGTGTATATACATATGTATGTAATCTATTCATGCAGATACCTCCACATATACATATTAAAATGAACATATTAATGAACATATGCATAATACACATATGCATTATATATTTATGCTTTTTAAAGCTCGTCAGTTCTTAAAAGGGTTAAGCAGTTTTAAAATTACTTCAACCCACTGCTTGAACATTGTTGCCTTAATTAGTAGCTGCTAACATATGAAGGGCTTGTCTTGGCTCTCAGAGTACAAAAAAAAGGAAGCAGCATGTCACAGAGCTCCATGTACACTGTTTCTTGTCTACTGCCATTAAAATTAATCATTGTGGCTAAAACCCGGAAGTTTTGTTGTTTCTGGTACAAGTGGATGTACCAACACCCGTAATTTCTGACCCGTAGAGTCTCCTTGCATAGCATATTGTCTGTGATTTTTTTTTTTTTAAAGGAATTAAATGAGATTGGGTTTTTTTTTTTAATAAAAAGGGATGGCTGTTGATACTTGTTACTTATTTAACATTTTTAATGCATTTTGCAATGAACAAATATCGGATGAAACTTTCAACAGCTACTTATTAATTTAGCTTAGCCGGAGTGAAAGCTAGTCCTTTCCAAACGACGAGTTAAAAGCATTTTGGAGGACTGCCACTACCCACGAGCCACTAAGCAAAGCAGTGCTTCTGTAATCCGTTTTCCAGTGTTAAAAAAGTTTGCCCCTTCTGCCAGGTGGAGGGGCTGCGTAAACATGGAGTGGAGGTTGGGGAAGAACTTCACACCTCTCCGTGTCTTAAATATTTTAAGTAATAAAGACAAATTTTTCTCTTCTGTTTCTTTACAGATAAGATGGCACTTCTAGTACGTAGAGGTGTTGTAACAACACGCGGTTCTGTTGTCCACAAACTGCTTTATTTTAATAGTATCCATGTAACCAACATGGGGTTTTTTGTTATTATTATTCCATATTTGCTGAGTTTTCCTTACACATATCATTGTTGCTTGTATTTGATGTTCCCATTCTCAAATTTGATGTGTGTGCTTTTACACATACATAACATAGCCTGTTACAGCTGGGTCGTGCTCCAGGCAGTTCCGACAGCAGTTGGGCAAATCAGCTTGTGAACTCTGCAACCAACTAGACGTGGTGCTATTTGAAAACCAGTTTTGCGCTGCCTTGGTTGCCTGCAGTAGCAGGGACTGTGAGGTACAGTGGAGGAGATCTTTACTGAACCTGTCCAGGGAGGATATAGGAGAGCAAAGACGGTAGTGGGTGAATCCTGGGGACGGTGGCGTTGTCGGACGGGTGGGCAGTGCTCTGCTGGAACGGCCGATCTGCCTTACCACAGCGATTAAGTCTGTAACAAACTAAACATTGGTGTGTGTGGAACAGATGATGAGTTTCACGCCATGTCTCACTTGTGGTCTTTACTCTTCATGTTGTGGTTGTTGCAGACTGCTGTAACTTGGGTTATACTGATACAGGGAGTGCAGGCAGGAGGGCACACCGAGCTGCTGCTGGGATAGGGGAGTCTAAGGAAATGGAACAGCTATTCTGAAACCTGGAAAGCAAAGCTGTGCTGAAATTAAATTATGACATTTAGCCTTGGGTAGAAGATTTCTGCTCCCTCACTAATTACTTGTTTTTGCAGCAGCAGGAGCAGCTCCGCTGTGAAAGTGCGAAGCCTTTCCCGCGCACAGCTAACATGAAGCAGGACACGAGCGCAGCGGCCAAAGCTCACAGCGTGATCTTCACTGGCTGAGAGGTGCATGGTTCCCCCTAAACTCATACTACTTCTCAGCTGCCGGTAGCGCGAGTGGGGCAGGTTGTGTGTCATCCACCCACTCTTCCCTCTGCTCTTCTCTGTACACAGCCCCACGGCGTGCTATTGTTAGGCAGGAACGCTAATTGCTGGTATTTCAAGGCTCCTACCTTCTTATTGCTAAAGCCTGTAACAATAATCACAGCCTATATTCCCCATCTCTAGGCATCAAGGAAATAAGATATGATCATAGGCAGGGTGCTAATGTAATTGTGGTATATAGAATGTGAGCTTTTTCTATGTAAACACAAGCCTGGCCACATCCTATGATAGCTCTTCCTACGCTCCATACGGTGGCTGTTCCTAGGCTCACTGCTCAAGTCCCCATTATGTATACATCTACCCTTGTCATAACACCACCTCTGAAACACTCACACCGTTTGGTCCTGCCGCATAATGTTAAGAGGGTGGAATTTTAAATTGAAAAAGGCTGTTTAAGTAATGTCAGCAGCCTGACTAATTTCACAAAAGGAAAGAAATTCAAAGTTAAGGCTACAGTATATTCTTACCTAGATGCCTGAAGATTTCTGTGCATGACAATATGCCCCTAAAATTCAGAGCTGTCCCTTATGTCTTTAATTTCTCCCATTGTGTCTCTCCTTTTTTTTTATTAAACATCAAAGTGAATTCACAACAGAGAGTCAGCCTAGAATTTAATCCTCTAAATACCTTGAAAATAGAGGTTTAGACTAGGAATACCAATATCCACCCTTAAAACTTCAGTGTAATATAAAAGAGATTCTAATCACAACAGATCATTACGAAGAAGAGTAAACCACTTTAAAAAAATTAAATGTCTTAAATATAATAAAAAGGAATAATTAAGAATCAAACAGGAAGCTGCTCTCTGACAATTTAATGATGCTGAATTGGACTGAAAGAAGTGGCTTTGCCATTAAAACGCAATGGAAATCTGATAATTTCAAAATGGCACTATGATCAGATCAAGTGGGGTTTTTCCAAAATCAAATGCAGCAGAACCAGAAAGAAATGATGGAATTCACCTTAGAAAATTCTTGGAGTGTTTTGGATTCCTACTGCTGCCTGGGGCTGAAGCTGTTATTTTATCAGACCTGCTTAAACATCTTTAGATTGGGGTCTTCCTGGGAATTTACAACCACATGGAATCTGTGGAAAGTAATGTGTCAGCCCTAATTGGCAAGTAGAATAGTAAAATATTTATGTTCTTTTATTCATATTTCTTTAAAAAAGAAAAAAAGAGAGATTTACATAACAGTAACTGGTGCGTTATAGCTGATTACACCAGGAGCTTTCCACTGTGTCCAGCACATAAAGTAGACTATGTGCTTTGAGTCTCTGTATATGAGCATAAAGATACGCATCCAAACATTTAAAATCAAGCAAGCTGATCTCACAGAGTGCTCACAACAACTGTGTACCTGATTTGCACGTGCACTTACCACGACTGTGTGTGAATTACAGCCATTTATTTTCACAGAATCACAGAGTGTTAGGGATTGGAAGGGACCTCTGGAGATCATCTAGTCTGAGCCCCCTGCCAAAGCAGGTTCACCTGGAGCAGGTTGCACAGGGCTGCATCCAGGCGGGTTTTGAACATCTCTAGAGAAAGAGACTCCACAACCTCTCTGGGCAGCCTGTTCCAGTGCTCTGGCACCCTCACAGTGAAAAAGTTTTTCCTCATCTTCAGATGGAACTTTGTGTTCCATTTTGTGCCCCTTGTCCTATCGCTGGGCACCACTGAAAAGAGTCTGGCCCCATCCTCTTGACACCTGCCCTTTAGATATTTTACAAGCTTATCTATTTTCTAAGCATTTGTGTCTTATGGCTGAGCATAACTGGGTGCAGAGTTACAAGCATTTCGTAGATTGCACCATTAGATTTTTAATTACTGGAGGGGCAGGTTTGGTATTTTCTACCTGAGAATCTTAGGAACCAAACTTGGCAAATTGCTGTGATTTGTATTGCCATGGAGAAAGATGCAATTAATGACAATCAATTGGTATGCATTTATACTGTAGAAATAATTCCAAGAAGGTGAAATAAAATTATCTGTTACAAGAAATCATCTGTACAGGGAGAAAACACCCATTTTGGGCATCAACAGCATCACAAAGGCAAAGCCTTAAAACACTGAGCAAGTAGGAACAACACAGAGTCGGTAACAGTTGTGTTTTTGCATCCTTGTGTGTTCTCCTGAAACATCAGTGAAGTCTTCTGGTTTGATTTCCTCAGTGATGTTCTTGTGAGTGCTGAATGTTATACACCCTGCAGAAAGTAGTGGTTTGTGTCTGCTGATCCCGCTTCTCGGAGCTCTCAGAATGAAGTACATGATCACTTTATGTTCAAACATTATGGACTTAAACATCAGCTGTTACAAAGTGGGATGGGTCCTTTTAAATCAGTGGCCCATAGCTCAGGGTATTGCAGAGTGTGGAGAACTCATAAGCCTCTTGTCACCTATTAACCCCGTAAGTCAAACAAGCAAACAAACAAACACCCAAGCTGAAGGCCCGCTTTGTGGCAGGTCCTGCGGAGGAGGAGCGCAGCCCGCCTTCCCACTCCTGGTGTTCTGCTGCCATCCGGTGGCCATCCCCCGGCGCGGCTGCGGGGCTGGCCGGAAAGCAGCCCCGGGGCTTTCCCTTCTTTCCTTGTAAGGGACGCTGTAACCTGCTGCCTCCTCTGCAGGGTTTGCTGTTACCAGTCTTGGTTTGATTTCTGCTTGATGAACCTCAGAGATAAGTAGTATAAAAGCAGGAAGCTGCAAATGATACCAGTGAGGACGAGATAGCTTACGTAGAGAGGATGGGAGTCCAGGTCCAGAGCGTGAGTGACCTGTAACCACAGATAATGCAAAATTAGGAACAGACACACACTGTTCATGCTGGATCTGTGACGTGTGTTTTATGTGTGAATCTCCCTGGCCCCTGCCTCCTTTTCCCCTTGTTTTCCAGCTGGATGTGACTGTCAGAGTGGTTTGATAGCTGGTTACAGCCACGCTATGTCTAGGGGCTGCTGTGGTGTATCAGAGCTGCTGAACAGTTTCAGCAAGGATGTAGTTGGGGCTTGTAGAGCAAATAGTTGCCCCCCCCTTTTTTTTCTTTTTTTGCTTCTTTTTTTCTCTTCCACTAAAAAGAAAGGGATAAAAGGAGTGACTGCTCTAGGGACAACGTTAAAATACACTTAAGTGTAACGCGACTTCTTGTGTTGATTTAGTGCTTGCCAGATTTGAGGCCTACAACATCTACTTAAATATGATGGGCATATAAATAGCATTCTAATTAGTCCTAAAGTGTTTGAACTATTTTTATTAGTGACTTACAAGTTTCCCTGGTATTTGAAATGTGGTGTTTCCAACAGTCATTTCATATGTGAGGTCAGTGAACTGAATTTGCATCAGGCCTTGAAAATTCCATCTGAGAAAAGAGATTTTAGAAACCCACAATGGAACTGGAAGAAAAATGGCAGAAAGAAAGAAATTGATACACATACACAAAACTTGAGACTTCAAAAACTGCTGTGTTGCTGCTAAATACAGCAGATTTGTCTAATTTCTTGGCAACCAGAGGCTACAAACATGTAACAGTTTATTCTTGGACAGAATGGTAGATTTACTTTATATCATTATGTGGAGATGGAAAAAAATAAAGAGAGCTAATACCTATACCCATCAGACTCCCACTGTCAGTAACTAAGTCTCACTGGAGCTTAATCTTTATGTACTGAATATAATTCTTTTTACTGAAAAATTTAGCAACCACCTAAGAATCAAAACTTTTGCTAGTGCTTTTTTGACTGAACTTATTGTTATCTTGTTTTCAGATAGAGAAACTGGCGTAAAATAAACAATCTGACTCCACTGTCGCCACCCAAGAAAATAATTGCAAAGGTAGGAGTAAATCTGAGTTTTCCTGCACACTCAGCCTCACAACAACCAGTCACTGATGAAAACCATAGATGTTTCAGTTCAGAGGGATGTAGGAGCTTTTTTTGTCTTTACCTGTCCAGAGGTTTTCTAGGCTTATCACAAAACCACCGCTCAGGTAGAATGATGTGAAAAGGACGTTGCCAAAGAAGGCTGAGAGCTGTAATGTCGGCAGCAGTGCTGCCACCCAAAGTGCCATCACTCGGGCACTATATACAGCCAGCCACACCAAGAGGAAGTTCAGCAAGAAATGTTCTGGTTCAGGAATGAGGTTTGCCAGCCAGTAGATGGGAACCCCATAAATTACAACAAAAGTGCAGTGCTCTGGGAGTTCCCCCAAAATCTGTTCAGGAAGAAGAAAAAAAAAAAAAAAAACAACAAAAAATGAGAGAGAAATAAGTTGAATGATGATCACAAAACCTTTTGAGATGCACCTCAACGTGCTTACAAACTGTTTATAAAAGCTACTGGAAATGCTCCCTTAGAATGCAGTCACCTCCCTGTTAGGTGTTGTCGATGACGTGCAAAACCAATCCACAACAGAAACTGAAATCCTCACTGTTTCTTTTTTTCTCCAGTTGTGACAATTCCTATAACTAATTGTTAAACTGAGAGGATCAGATGTTTTGTTATAGTTTTAGCAGCTTCTAAGAATTTCAGACACTTTCCCTGAGATTTGGTGTCCTTGATAACAGTAATACAATGACTGATTCATCACAACTGTATGTTTTGTCCAAATTTGGTTGAACGTAGTGTGAGATCAAATTTGGCTGTTGGTCACTTCCCTACTTTTTCTCAAAGGCAGTGCAGTTATTAACTGCTTGCAAACTCATTGTAAAACAAAAACATGCTTAGGGTTTTCTCAAATATCTAAAGATATGTATAGAGAATATTATGATTATTTCTTCAAAGAGGGTTGCTACTATCCTCTAATACTAAGGTTGTAACAAATTACATTGATTTCTTTATGAATAATGTGCAATCTTTGTGACACAATGCAAAGAATATTTTTCTCTGGCAAGCGCTAATAAGCATTTAAAATCTTGTGCAGAAATGGAAACCTAAATTACAGATACCATGGCAGGCAGAACTCATCTAACAGTGGCAACATCACAAAGAAGGGATTATTCTAAACCCTTGTGAAAAAGAAAATATTATTTTTAAAAAAAGTTCTAAAGTTATTTCCAGACACTCTAACTCTTTATGCATTTAAACATAGTGCATAAAAAACTACTGGAAATGTCACAGTTAGCATTTTGTAACTTCTGTTTTACCTTTGCTTTATCATTTAATATGAATATTTTGTTTTACAGATCAAGACATGTAATCAAACTTTCAAAGATGCTTCAGCGATTGAAATATGCAGGTATGTAAAACTGTCTAAGGCCTCAAATTTGAGTTTGAGATTTCTCAAATTTTGGCTGAACAACCCAGTGAAAGATTCTTCTTTGTTTTTCCTAGGGTGCAATCTCAGCCATGACTTACAACAGCAGATCTAAAGTGTGAGGTTTAATCCATTAATGCCAAGGAATAACCTAAGCTTAGCTGACAGACACAAAAGAACCGAGTCTGATATGAATTTATACAACAAGGCTTTGGTTTGTGTTTTTTAATGTTGAAGCCGGCTGTTTATATTTCCTGGCAACAAAGCCAATTACCTTAGCAAAGAAGTATGGACTAACAGAATACATTCCATCTTCCAAGTCATGATAAAGCATAGCTCTTTCTGAATGACCTGCGGGGTAGGAACAAACAGGTTGGTTTCATCCTAGGGTTACGTTAATAGGTATAATTTTTTAATTGATTTTGATTACTTATAATATTTATGAGAAAGCTGACACTTACATTTGGCAATAACATCCAAAATCACTGTGAATGGGATTAGTGCACCTATCATGTACAACAGTGCTGTTGTGTCACGAATAGAGAGTCTGGTTTTCTCATGGCCATAGTACAAAAATCCGATTAACAATGACATGAGAAGGGCCTCAAATCCATGGATTAATAACGTTGAAAGATCTCTGAAGTCATTGGAGACTTGACGACTAGGAAAACAGCAACATTGAGCGTAAGGTGTAGTACTTATTAATGCTGGTTATATTCAGATACGTTGCCCCAAAAGCTCTGCTAAAATCAGTTTGTGGAACTTGCTGACTTTGAATAGGACAGGAGTTGGGCTCTCTGTTTCTGTAAAGGATTTTACCTAATTAAAACCACTGAGCATCTGTGGCCACCTGGTATTTCTATATCTGACATGCCAAAAGCTTGAAGAAAGCAAGGGAGGTGTAGTGGTCTGATTTCGGAGACGTAGAAGCAATTGCTTCAGTTACGGAAGTCTCTCTGTTAGGGACCTGTAGCATATGCTAACAACTGCTGATACTGGCAGCGATGTTCCACGTGTGTTAAACTAATTGATTATGTTTCTTTTGAGTACACGAACACAAGACCCAACTATAATACCTGTCAATGCTGGCTATAACCAGTGAAGCCTCCTGGCTTCAAATCTGAGGCAAAGCTGTGAGGATGGCAATGCCCGAGCCCACCACAGAGCTGCCTGGGCTTGCTGAGGGTTGAGTCACCATGCTTCGGCTTGGAGATCAGGATGGTGATACCCAAAATTGGGACCCGTGTTCCGGAGCCTGGAGGCTCCTGCTGCTCCCTAAAGTCAGGGACTCCCAGTGATGTGAGCTGGGGTTGACTGTGTCTGGAAGGAACCCTGGGCAGAAGTGTGGGGCTGTACATGTGGCTGCCATCCTGGTCAGGGGACTGGGGTGAGCCAATATAGCAACACTTCTGCTCCACAGCTTGCTCAGGCCTAGCACTAGCAGTGCACTTTCAGCATGTACTCAGTTCTCATCATGTTCTTCTTTCTTATGCTTTAAAATACAAATGGACATGATACATAACTGTTTATGCTGAAGATAAGGTTACCTTAATAATATAGTGAACTGCTTTAAGACTCCTGGTAACTGATCACTTGAATGGTGAGGCATGTTGATAGCCTCTTCTGAATTTAAATGGGAACTGCCCAAAAGAAAAGAGGAGGGGAAGAAAAAAGAGAAGAAATTAGCATAGTCTATAGCTGTTATTCCAAATCTGCTGTATGACACACTTTTCTTTACCTTTGCTTGCTGAATGTGGTTGCAACATTGTCTACTTCAGTAACTTTCCATAAGAAATCATCAAAATCTTTGACTTTTTCTAGGAACAAGTTGGCAAGAGTGTTTGCTCTTTTTTGGCTTTCCATCTCCTTTTCTGCGGTCTGTTTATTGATACTGGTCAAATCAACTGCAAGACATTATTTGACATGAGTCCATTTGCTACAGATGTAATAACTTTATGATGTGTTTAGAATCAGAGATTTCATCATGGACAGACAATATGACCTGTGCACCTGCATTAAGCTATAATGGTTAAAACTTTATCATTTGCTTTTAGGTAGTTAGAGAAGAACAAATTGTTAGTGTTTGTCTTGGGAGATGTTTCTTATCTAGCCATTCAATGCATCAGTGAAAGAGTTCATAATTGCTTATTACAATACTGTAAACTACTATTTCAGATTTTTCTAAATTTAATAGTGGCTTGAGAGGCGTGCTGAGAATAAAGAGTTTGAATTTCCTTCCTGGCAATGTAGGAATTTACAATCTGTTATGTGACTTTGACTTAAATCACGTGAGTTTTCTCCATCTGCAAAACAATAGTTGTCATCTTTTTTTTGTATCTTACAGAAGTGCCATAAACTTTACCTGGTACTGAGAAGGCTCAAGAAGAATATTATCTAAGGACAACATAGTAGCAGCAACAATAGTTGACTTGGCATTATTTTTTTACTTAACAAAATGATTTTTTAAAATCTAAACTTATAATAGTATTTTCCAATGCTGACCTTCAGTGTAGAGTGACAGTACCTGACGTTTTGCAGATGCTTTCTGAGAGAACTATCACTGCACATTTTTAAACACCCTACATTGGGCTGATCATCTCTGTTCGGCCGCTCTTCAGCA